TCCACCTCCATTCCCACAGGAGGCCTGCTGAGAGGCAGCAGGAGAGGGCTGATGCACGCAGGCTGAGACATGGCACCGGCACATTTCCTAGGTCTGCAGAAGCCCCGGCCTGAGCAACACCTGACCCCAGGTCCCCACCTGACCTGGGGTTCAGTCCACACACTTACAACGGCCATTTCTGGTTGAACAGAGAAAAGAAGACACATGGAACAGAGTCTTTGAGCAGGAAAATGAGTCCACTGACACTACCCCATTGTCCAGTCATGAGCTGGATGTGCACAGGCGGGAATGGGAGAAAGGGAAGGTTTGCTAGCTCCAGGGGTGGTGGTCTGGCTTCTCCTCACAGGATTTGGAAGTACTGGGTTAGAACTCAGGCCTGTGCTCATTGGGCCATCGTGCCGTGACTGGCCATGCCTCTCATTTTGCTGTCAGCTGTTATTCGGGCAGAGCCTTGGTGTTGACTGAGGCTGGGCTCAGAGCTCATAACGCTGTGTCCATAGCTCTGAAGTAGCTGGGGGCCCAGCGGGCTTGAGATGTCACGCCTTGCTTCTTGACTGATATTCAGCCTGGCTAGTATTTTCACTGGCTGGATTCAAACTACAATCCTCCCATCCCCACTTCCCACACAGCCTGGATTGCAGGGAGTACCCTGTGCGTAGTCATGTCCCTCACGTTTTCAACAGAATTTCAGGGCCTCTTCAGCAGGGGATCCCAGTGTGTCTCCCCAGGTCTGATGGGAAAGTGATCGTCAGGTCCCCTGGCCTTCCTCAGTCCTGGGGACCACGGCTGGGTCGTTGCCATTTCCAGGGCGATGCACTGGTCTCACTGATGTGGGAATATACTTTATCGTTCAAAGATCATAACAACATGATCACCTTGTGAACTCAGAGACACCACGGAGTGGCAGCCTCCCAGATCCAGAGGAGATCCCTGGCAGTCAGCTGGACAGACGCAGCCAGATGGTGACACCAGCCCTGGGCTGCAGGCTGTGTTCTGGATGGACTCTGGGCTGGGGTGTGCTGGGCATCCCTGAGGGTCCAGTGCATCCCTGTGGCAGGCTTGTGTCAGGGCTCACACCCTGTCTCCTCAGTGTGTTCTACACAGTAGTGCAAGGCCGTGTCCTCCGTTGTCACAGAGCTCAGCTGCAGGGAACACTGGTCCTTGGAGGTGGGCACTGTCATGGTGACTCTGCTCTGGAGGCATGGGCTGTACGCGCTGCTCCCACATTTATAGATGTGTCCAGTCCCCTCCAGCATTTCCCTGAGGCCTGTCGGGTCCAGCTCCATAGTCACCATGCTGGAGTCACCAGAGACCGCACAGGAGAGGAACATGGTCTGCACGGGCCTCAGCAGGCCAGCGCCTGACTCCTGCAGCTGCACCTGGGACAGCACAGCTGTGGACAGAGGAGCAGCTGTGTCTCGGCCCAGAGGCCGCATCCCATGCTCCTGCCCAGTCCCAAGTCACCAGCACTGTGAGCTGCCAGCAGGAGCACAAAGACCACACCTGCTTCACGTTCACAAGGTCACGTCTGTCACACGCAGACAGCATTTCCAGAGTGCAGAAGAGGCTGAATTTAAGCGAGGGTGCGACTTCTCCTGGTGAGTATGTGGGAATTTGCATGTGGGGGCATCCTGCTTGTGGCTTCATACGAGGGGCAGCTTCCCTGTCACCTGTCCCCTGAGAGGAGGTGACCATGGGTCTCTAGTCACCTCAGCCCTGTGACCGCAGCCTCACCTCCCTGGTCCTTGCAATTACCAAGAGGCATTCATGCTGAAAGACCTGATTTTTCATCTAGATATGTAATATGTGAATGCAAACAGTGTCTTTCTTTATCACACAAACAAATACACACCTACACATACCTGTACACACACCTCACAGGTACATACATG